ATAATAGAATAGCTTAAAAAATCCAGTCTTAAATCAAGCCACAAAATACTTGCCAAATTGTCCTACCCCCCAAAAAACCGAAATCGAAAATTTCAAAACCAAAAAAATCTTTTAATCATACATAGATACAGTGTACATGTTTTTATTTGGAGTCTTATACAATAAATAATATATCGACTAATTCCAAATAACTAAAATTACAAACAACAAAAATTGGGTGATTCCAGAAAATATCCATACCCTACCACGGGTGGCATGAGTATTTTAACCCCCCCTTGCCCTCGGAAATTCTAAAATGCTTATCCCCCCCTTGCCCTCCGAATTCCAAAATCGCTAACCCCCCCTCTCCTCTGGAATTTTCCACTTTTGTTTCAGACCCAACAAACATAACAGCAAACATTTGAACTGGAAACAGTTTCAGTATACAGTAGAGTGAGTTTTGTAATCGATCAAGTCAGTCTTTGTTGATGTTTTTGGCCTCATGTGGATTTGCGGCCCGTTATTCGTAATTTTGATTTTACAGAACTGACAATTTTTTTCTTGATGACAAATGTATGGAAATCATAGAAACGCAGGAAAAATCAGGACCGAACTGCATTTTTCCCCTAAATACCGGTTTTAGATTTGATCAGCAAATGTTTTTAGGTTTATGCAAATATTTTTGTCGCGCTACACATAACATGCATGTACAAATAATTTAATCGTGTAAAATGTATGATGGAAATAAAAAAAATGAATGAAAAAGTAACTATTATAATTTTTTGAGGTAAACCTCTCCCTGACTCTTCCAGTTCTATTGGCAAATATACGTCCGTTTAAGGATATCAGCTCCTGGAATAAATAGTTATTTCGAGGAAAAATAACTATTTAGAACTGAATGATCAAAACACTTGCGCATAAACAGTTTTGAATTAAACAGCGCATCAAAAGGCACGCTGTCGGATTTTACTACCAGCTACATGTTGGTGTGAAAATCGGCGTGAAATACAAAATCTGTCAGGCGTTCTATTTGGAAACGAGAGACTGGTGCTAGTTTTCAGCACGCAACAACACATCGTCGATCGACAATCAGCGATAAACACCGACTTGGTTATATTTTTATTAATCAGTTGACTAATTCATCAACTTTAAGGCCTCTTCGATGTGGAGCTTGCTGCACAACCCATCTGCTTACCCATCTGCATGAACGCATACTTCTTCCGTGGTCGGTTCGTGCTTCATTTACAAACTGGGAATGTTAACAGGTCAGCGATTTCAAGCGGAGCTTTCGCCGTCTTTCCTCTGGAAATTCACTGAATTCAGAGCTGAAACGCCCCCCCATGCCTTTGGAATTCCAAACTGCGTTACCCCCCCACATCTTCGGAATTCCAGTCCAAGAAACCCCCCCTCTCCCTCGGAATTCCAAGATGCCGCCCGTGGTATGGTATGGGTATTTTCTGGAATCACCCATTCCCAACCATATATGTCTAATAAGTTATCAATTAATTTCGTCCTAGTCCGGAGTACCCCTCCCCCCCCCCCCCCGCCAGCTAAGGCTCCTAGCTGACCCATTTCATGTAATACCACAATAAAAGCACCTCGGCAGAGCTAGTCAAACCGGGTGATGCAATCATGCCCTAACTGTGAGTTGTTTGTCGTGCAGTTTGCATGTGAAACATTATTTTGGAATTTGCCCCTTTTGTGGGTGAGAGAAATCAACATGATCTAATAATTATCAAGGTTTTTAAAAATAACTCACTCTCTCACACACACATACGTACACACGCAGTTTGCACGTGAAGATGTTGGACTTTGCCCCTTCTAACAGTTTCGTACATGAAAGAACGCAACTTGTTTACTAGTTCCTTTCCGAACATATGCAATGCAATATTATGCATTATTCAAAGTAAGAGTATTAGGGTAGCATCAATTAGCTCCAATAACATTTTCAAACTGCAGAAAGACTTTATATATGGCCACTCATCGGATGTCATTCCTCTCATTGAAACAATGCTGTATTTTTCTCATGCATGATAATGGAATTTTGCATAATTGTGTGACATCTTCTTTGGCTCTTGACAAATGAGGGCAAAAATATTGTCAAACTTTTGTCTTTAAGCCAAACTCATCAATGCCACAGTGTGTTTTTCAATGTTTAAGGTGGCTGCCTAGGAGTATTTACTAAACCCTTAGCTATCTAGCATACGTTACAGAATGAAATCTAGTAAACTTTGTCTTTGCGATTTTGTTCACGAGATTCACCGCTAAGGTTACACATATAAGAAGGCTCCTTTATCAAGTTTCGTTTTATGGATTAAGGCCGTTGCCATGGCAACATCGCATCCTTTGACAGGCTGTAATTTTGTCATTTTTGATCATTTTTCCAGCATGCTTCTTACTTTGTACAAGACATTTGTGTGGCAGACATTCAGGTCACTGGGCTTGTTTATGTTCGCATATATTGCATGCCTATTGCAACTTTGAATCAAAACAAGTGATCTCGATTACTCTATTTGGGTGACTCCTAAATAAAAGGAATCATCTTAGCCTCACTTAAAACAGAGACCTCAGGTAGCCCAACCTCATTTTACGTTGGACTAGCTGTGCAGAGACTTGAGGGAACTTGGAAATGGCCTGTTAGCCACTTTGAGGTTGTGTGGTAGACCAGGTCAAGATGTCAACTGTCAAAGTGCATTGTGTGACAGTCCCACAGTGCATTGTGACAACCATCTCGCCCCGGTCTCCCACGCAACCTCAAAGTGGCTAATAGCATGTCATCCATGGTTTCAAAAATGTCGTTTGGATTATCATTAGTTACTTGTCACCAAGCTGAATGGAGTAAGATTCCACTACTTATCCCCAAGCATATTGAATATAATATCAATAATTCCTTAATTTTAGCTCGAAATTTCAGTGTTAATATCACAGGTGACGAATTACTCCTTAATTTTGGCGCGAAATTTCAACGTTAATTTGTAATTTCATATGTGAAATTACAAAATTGCCATGGCAACCCTTCCGTACCTCTCAGTGTCAAGATGGGTACGAAGTTTTAAAATGCTGCGAATGAAGATGTCAGGGCACAAAAAGACGCTTTAGAAAACCTGAACACACAAGAGAACATCAAGAAGGATTCTAACATGTATTTTGCCGAAAAAGTGTGAAAAATTCGGAACTTTAGAAGCCAAATTTAAGGTCTAAACATTTGGGAGAGTGGAGTTCTCGATCGATATGATCCAGGATAAACATGTCAAAAATCCAAGATTGCTAACGTAATTCGTCACCCATGATATTAATAGGTAATCAAATGGTATACTCATGAAATTAGGGAATAATTTCACTTGCGTTTTGTCCAAATCCTAATAATTTCAGGCTCCGGAAATTACTAGGATTTGGACAAAATGTGCGTGAAATTATTGCCTAATTTCACTCGTAACCATTTGATTACACATACTAATTTATATTTTCACTTGTGAAATTACAAAATTGCCGTGCCAACATTCTGTATGTGTCAATGCCAAGATGGCGGAAACTTAAAAATAATGTTATGACTGAAGATGTCAGGGCAAAAGATGCTTTAGAAAACCTAAACACACATAAGTGGACATGAAAAAGGATTCTCTCAGGTATTTTGTAAAAAAGTTCTGCGCATTATGAACTGAAGCCAAAATTTAAGCTCTAAAGTTCTTGGTGCATGGAGTTCTCGGTCAATAATCATTTTGATAAACATGCCAAAAACCTAGGATTGTGAGCGTCATTTGTCATCCATGATATTAATAGTTAATGAAATGGTTTACCGGTAAAATTAGGGATAATTTTACACACATTTTGTCTAAATTCTGATAATTTCTTGAGCCTTTAAAATTATTAATTTTTTAAAAATGGCATGAAATTATTCCCTAATTTCAGTTGTGACCATTTGATTACACATACTTACTATTCTCTTAAGCAGCTCAGTAATAATTAATGGATTTTGTCTTATAGGGTTTGTCGTCCGACATATCGGTTGACATATCAGTTGACATACAGAGTACTGCTCAATATATCAGCTGAGTGTCAGTCAATATGTGGCAGTCAGTCATTCCCTATAACCTATTGGTTAATAGTCGGTCAGTAGTTGGTTGATTACTTCGCCAAAAGATCACCAGCACACCGACAGGCCACTGACACTTGGTTGACACCTTGGCTGACTGTTGGTTCAGATGATGAATTTTTCAGCATTATTGGTTTTGTTAGGAACAAAAGAGAAATTTCTCACTGAAAATTATGATGTTCCATTGCAGACAAAACCTGTAGGAAAACATTGGTTAATGATTCAGCAAGACCAGAAAGCCAGTGCCAAAAAGGTGGGTAATCACATTTGCCTTGCCCATGTTGCAACACTCTATTTAGATCAAGATAGAAGGTTTGTCTCAGCACTCGTGATGCTCAACCAAAGAACCACTGATACATTACCAGTACTGGACTGACAGTTCCCCGTTAGGTTGCCAACACACTAACGGTACTATCGTGACCAATGGTTGACCAATGGTTGACTGATGGGTCAATGCCTCAGTCAGTACTCGACCGACATGTGACCAACACTCTACTGACATGTGGATTGATATTTCAGCCAACACTGGGTTGATATGTCAACTGATAGTTTGCATTTATAATAACCATGCACTTGGTTATAGCTCAGTTGGGAGAGTGCCAGTCTGTTGAGGGGAGAAAGTGGATTCAAACCCTGTCTAGACCAACACTCAGGGTCTTTAAATAACCTGAGAAGAAAAGGGTGCCTTATAATGACATCTGTAAATGGTTAGACTTTCTAGTAAGGATGAAAAGGCATAGGTCCCGTTTTAGAGCACTTTCATGTATCTGCATGGTTCTTGTGGGACTTTAAAGAATCCACACTCTGTTAGAAAAGAGGAGGGGACGTAGACCCCAGCGGTGTCGTCAACCTTTCCTGGGCTTGGTGGGTAATATCTGTAAGGAGAGATCTTAATATGGGGTAACCTCATGATTCTCCTTCAGGTGTTGAAGTGGCTATGTAAACAATGTGACTATGTATGGCCCAGCTCTTAGATTTACAGGACTTAAATTCACCATGTGTATCTTGAATTCATTTTCAGTTGATGGATGACGAGGATGATATTCAGTCAATAACATCTCTTGATTAGAGACTTTTTCATTTTTATCTCAGCAAGTTCAAACATTCAGGGTAAGTTGTTGTACATTTATCATCAGAGACCTTATTAGAAACAGGTAATTGCGAAGATGGCCTTAATTCATAAGGGAAAGTTTATTACAAGATTAATGGGAGAGCCCCTCGGCACTACCATCCAGTTAGAACTACGAGCATTTGAATTCCCAGCTTCTGCATTTTTTCTGGCCAACAGACAAAGAGGAACTTTTGGGGGAGTTTCTGAAACAATTTTCAACAGCTATCAGAGTGGAAAAAGACACTTCTCAAGCAATTTAGGTTATTAACGACATAGCTTATATCAATCCATGTCCACTTTTTACACAGTTATATTTTCCTTCCTTCGATCCTTGTGACTAGAGAAACTGAGATGATTATCAAAAAACTGAATTTATTTATTTTTAAGAAATATTTATGTATAATTGCCAAGGAAGAAATGCTTTGATTTTCAAACATTAATTCTCGCCATCAATACGACGTAGCAAAATATAATTATGTGGAAAAGAAAAGAATTTTTTGTTATGTTGTTATTGGGCTTTAAAAGCTTTTAATTTATTACATTTTTATCTCTAATTTGACCCATGATTATTTATACAGATGATGGTCTCAGATGAAGAGAAAAGATGGATTGTTGTGGGAATTGCCATGAACAAAGTTGCTGCTCCTGTTTTGCGGGATGCTGTCAAACAAGGGATGGATGCCAACTATGCAAATCTGGACAGGCACTGTCAACTTCCCCACCCGCCTTGTACTCTAAAGACATTAACTCATGGTGTTGTCCGAGCAGATCCTATCTTGAAGAACCTGAAATTTCAAAATATAAACAACAATCATCTTGTTCATGGTCGATGCAACTACAACTTTAACATCGATAGCTCTTTAGATTTGGCCAAGTTATATCTGCCAGGTCACCTGGCTCAGTTTTCAGGCTTTGATGACTCACTGGACATGACTGCCATCCTTCGTCTGTTGGGATTTAGGAACTACATGCCTGTCACTGTGTTCTCCCCACACTCCCAGGCCTCAGCCGATGATGTCAGGGAAAATGTCAGAAACAAATGGGGTCATGTTGATGTAACTGAGTGGACAGATGCCCTGTTCAATGATTGCTTTGACAAGCTGAAGACATTGGTGAGGAGTCTGGGACTGACAGCAGGTGTGGAGAACGACACATTGGATCAACTGGATGACTGGCAAACAAAAGGTTATTACACCTAGACAATACAATATTATAATAATTCTTAATCATAAAGTTACCATGTTGAAAGGGAACAGACTCTAAACAATTTTGCTCCAGCAAATATGTAACTGTCATAACAGTCAATCAGTGGGACGCTTTAAATGGTCGTAATTCCACAGTTTTGATTTTAGTTCTATTAAATCCTGTATCAATGTTTATTACACACACACTGTATGAATTGCTGATGCTGTGAGCACAAATCCTATTACTTAATAGGCTGCAATAAGTGTATTCCATTAGGATACAAACTAATGGTGAACACGGCAGGTAAGCAAGCACAACCTCGTTCCCAGAGTTCTCTCCTACCCATCCCTACAGAGAGAGAACCTGGGAACGAGGTTGAAGCAAGCGAAGGTCCTGCACGTTAAATTATATTAACTAATACACAACATAAAGCACATATAATCTACAGACCTAATGACAGCGATAGACATAGTCTGTATCAGGGTCTCAGTTAGTCAGGACAAGTGAAAAGTAAACGAAGTGTGAGAGAAACAAGCTGTTTTTTCTTAAGTTGTGCATACTCATTCTTGTCTCCGCTCGTACCCACTCAGTTACAACTGAGAGCCTGCAAAATGGTAATTTGGACGTAAAGATGTTAAAATAATCTGCAAACAAGTTCTAGCAATTTCTTCTGTGATAGTCAATAACAGCACACCACAGAAGTTAAATGAAAATGTTATGCATTTCACAACCGTAGCTATAGGCTTGCAGAGCAGATGAGACAAGTGTTGCAAATATTTAAAGAAGCATGAACAGCTGGTTGGGGCTGGCGCATAGCAGTCTTTCCCAAGGGAAAAGTGTAAACCCATGAGAACACCTATTAGCTACAGTAGCTAATAGTTTGCCTATTAGCTACAGTAGCTAAAACCATGAAAAAACTGCCACTGATAAAACTATGCATTCCTTACAGTTAGTCCTGTTGGGATTTAATGAACATTGTCCTGAACATGCTAGTATTTATAGGTGGAGGGTCTACAGCAGGTCATTCAAAAAACAATTTAGTTCCAGCCATGTTGAGGTTTAAAGAGACGTGGTTTACTGTAAGCAGGGTTCAAAATAAGTTGACAGAGTTATGTTAAGGCATTTTGATTAATTGTTTTAAGTTGTTACTCAAAGTAAAACTTTCATTCTGTTTTATTTAAGGCTGTCAATTAATCATGGGTCATGCCGTGGACAAAGGTCTTCTCTGTTTGGTACAAGATGAAGTGAAAGATCTCATCAAGGACTACAGCACCATTGGTTCACAACTGAATTTACACAACAAAAACGTTGCTCAGCTTCAAGGAAATGTTGCCACCCTTATAGATCAGTTTGAGCGTAGAGAAGCGAGGTTAGTTGAGCATCATAAACGCCTTGAAGCGCTGGAAGAGAAGCTACATGTGCAGCCTCAGGAGGCAGCAGAGTACAGAAGTGAAGAGATCAAAAAAGTTGTAGAAAGACTTGTGTCTTTCGAAGCACAGTTATCGATACGACTTCAAGTGGTGGAAGAAAAAGTAGAGCGACTAGAGCAAACTCTAACGACGACAGATGACAGAGTAGGACAACTGGAACAAAGTCAAACCAACACAATTTGTCAAGTAGAACTACTGAAGGACAGTCATACCAAGACGGCTGATGAAGTAGAACTGCTGAAGCGAAGTCAGACTGAGACGGCTACAAAAGCAGATCAGCTGGATCAAAGATGGGCTGAGGTAGAAAGAATTGGACTACAATTGAAAACACAGAAGGACAAACCAGGTAAGCTGTGTTTGCGATAAAGAGATTAATGTGTTGTTAAGTCATTCATTAATATTGTAGTGAACACAAGGCAAAATGTTCTCTTTTTCTGACACTTTCAAGTGTGAAATTATTTCAGATATGAATCATTCACCGAGTTTCCTCAGCGACGCAAAATTCCTGTTGCAGGTGCGGTCCCCACGTATGCACGATAAAACGCAGACTGACCGATGTGTTTCACTGCGAACAAACGTCAAACGTCTGAGGCGTTTTTTACATGTAGAGGGATTTCATTCAGTGATCCTTTAAGTAGAAACGTGCGCATGGGTGTTGAAAACGTGTCACGTCCTAATAAAACGTTAATGCAAAATGGTGCCGACAATAACAACAGTTTCAGTTTTTAAACGCATAGGGGGAATGGTCCTTATTTAGAGCAGGAGAGGAAGTGGATGATACTAGGGAGTGGTTATGGATTTTTAGGTAGTGAGTACGGATTATGAAATATCCACAGAGCGTAGGGGTTACTTAAAATCAGTGAACAGGTTATTTATTCCAAGGGATATGGCTCTACGGCTCAGACAATTTTAAGCATGCCCATCCCCCTCGGGAGTTTGTTAAGTGCTGTGTTCCCACCGTGGGGTATCTGTCTTCAAAGTTGTACACGGGGTTAGGAATTTGTCATATATGAATTTATTCTTTTCTTTAACTTTTATTTAAAAAATCCACGACATTTAAAAATTGCATAAGTAGAAGCTTAAAGATACACGTGGTGTCTCAAGACATTCTGTTTAATCAAAATATTATCGCCTTCTACGGAACGTCAACCAGACGAAAGGGGGGGATTTTGAAGAGAAGAGCAGCCCATTGTGAAAAATATAGCCTGAGTTCTCAAGCGTTTCTGGGGGAAGGGAGAAGAGAGAAGCGATAAAGAGAGAGAGCGAATCTCCTCTCCCCCACCCCCTTAGGAAGAACAGAAGAGCACCCCAGTATGAAAAAATAGCCTGAGTTCTCAGGCGTTTCTGGGGGAAGGGAGAAGAGAGAAGCGATAAAGAGAGAGAGCGAATCTCCTCTCCCCCAGCCCCTAAGGAAGACCTGATACTGAGGCTATGGAAAAGAATGGGTTAAAGGGCAACTCTCGCGTAGGACAACATTTTTCAGCAAAACCTTGCAAATGTTTTTCTCATTGTAATACCATCAAGAAATATATCTTCAGCGATCTATTTGGCTCAGAAATCGAGATTCAAAGTGTTAAATTTGCCGCTTACTCGAACTTCCGCCATTAACGCTTCGATTTTGCCTATCACGTGACGTGACGTCACAGGTGTGGAACAACAGATGATCTCGAATATGGCTGACTGTAGTTTTTCAAGTGATAGCGCTACCTCTTTGTCCGATTATTCGGTTCTAGAAAAACTTTTAGAATGCAAAGTATAGGGAAGCCCTTCACGGAAATTCAACCCCGGCGTTTTGAGCCGCCTGGAAGATCGTCCGAAGCTGATGAAGTTCGTGCGTCGCCAGGAAACATCGAGCCTACCACTCGCCCGCTGCGATCTCGATAGTGAAGAATGGTGAGTGCCTAGATGGTTTTGAACAATTCTTGTGTACAGTGCAATCCGTAAATCGCTTGATTTCATCAATGCTATGAATGCTTCAAATTGTAAAAGGAAAAGGACTAATTAAACACGCATTTTTTTTTGTATGCTGAGCGTTTATCATTTTAGATCATTGTTTTCATATGTACAAGTAGTCGAAAGCGTACCTTCCCCTTCTAACGACTACTGGAAATGATAATCTGGGCAAGTTGTCTCAGTGTAGTTTTTTTTCTGCTTTAATCCTGGTTTTACAAAAAGCAGTGATTTATATCGGAAGCAATAACTACGCTCTAGTAATTCGTTGACTGCAACGCAAATAAATTTCCATATCTTTACCCCTTGACAGCCGCTCATGCTCGACTCGTGGAGTGCTTGCACTGTAAAATTTGTCTCTTTTGTTGTTGTACAGATTGTTATACATAATAACTGAAAGGCGCTGTACAGTTGTTTTCCTACAAGTCGTTAACTTACTTTTACTGTGTCTTGCTCTGTCAATGAATTTGGTTCAGAAGTTATTACTCTAGCTTCTGTGTATCCTGATGTTATTATTAAGGTGGCTCGATACAGTTTTTCAGGGCCAATACCTCCCAAGTTTGAGCATAAACTATGTCGCCATAAACAAAGTTTTGGAAAAATTGCCACCACAGTTGTATTAGAGGAAGATGAAAATTTGTTATGATGAGGGTTGCAATGGCATCGGAGTTGTCATAGCAACGAAATGACGCTATTACCTATTTTACTTGCAGCAGTATAAGAGCGTTATAGAGATATTTTGGGATAAAGTTTTTATTGTTAGAAACACATTAAAAAATGAACAATATTATTGTTTGGCCGTTATCTGTAGAAAATGAAGCGCTTTTGACATGCAATTTTACCTCATAGTAGTTTCAATCTTTTAAAAGCCTGGGTGAAAGATCATGGGAGATAGCTCCAGCCGATTGCTAGAAAGAAGGGTTGTTTAGTATGTATCGAAGCGCTCTTGTTAGCGGTTTTGTAAACATTTTGGTCTTCTTTAACAAATTAGCGAATAATGTTTAAACCGCTCGATAGATTTTTTTAAAAAGTTAGGATTCTTGATATTAACCTTCCTTTTATATGACTTTTTAGTTTCAAGATTATTGATATATTGTAAGGCAGTAAAATAAGGACTACAATTCGTAACTTTTTTATCGGAAGTTTCGTCATTACAAGTGAAAGCCTCTAATTATTCAAGGCATTGTCTCCAAGTTTCATATTCACGTGAACAGCAGTAACTTATAACAATGCAATTGAAATATGCAAAAATGCTAGCTATTGTTGTGCACGAAAATATGCAACTTGGACACAATACCCTGAATAATGAGAGGCTCACACTTGTAAACAGGAAATTTCTGCCAAAATATTAGCGAATTATAGCCCTTATTTTACTGCCTTACAATATATCAATAATCTTGAAACTAAAAGGTCATATAAAAGGAAAGTTAATCTCAAGAATGTTAATGTTTAAAAAAAATCTATCGAGCGGTTTAAAAATTATTCGCTAATTTGTTAAAGCCGACCAAAATGTTCAAAAACCGCTAACAAGAGCGCCTCGATACATACTAATCAAATCCTTCTTTCTAGCAATCGGCTGGAGCTATCTCCTTGATCTTTCACACCCGTTTTTTAAAAGATTGAAACTACTATGAGGTGAAATTGCATGTCAAAAGCGCTTCGTTTTCTACAGATAACAGCCGAACACCAAGTTTGTCCATTTTTTACCGTATTTCTAACCACAAAATCTTTATCCCAGAATATCTCGATAACGCTCTTACAGATTTCGCTTAAACTTCACGAACATCAAGGCTGCTATTGGAGGAAAAAGCTTCCGTGAATGATTTTCGAAGAACAGTTCCCAGTGCCGAGATATACTGCTGCAAGTAAAATAGGTAATAGCGTCATTTCGTTGCTATGACAACTCCGTTGCCGTTGCAACCCTCATCATAACAAATTTTCATCTTCCTCTAATAAAACTGTGGTGGCAATTTTTCCAAAACTTTGTTTATGGCGACGTAGTTTATGCTCAAACTTGGGAGGTATTGGCCCTGAAAAACTGTATCGAGCCACCTTAAGACAATTTAAAGTTGGGATGAGATACACCTCCATACCCATGTGAACTAACTGCTTGCATAAAACGTTTCTGCTCCCCAGTATATGATTTTCGAGGTTGGGACATGTCGTATTTGATCACTTAAGTTTTTGTCTGGAGCACAACAATGGTTATGTTAACTACAATAATATTGCATTTGATGAGATATAACTGCAGGAACTTCTATTATAATACACCCAGTACTGAAAACGTGTACATATTTGAAACTATTTTGTGGTTATGGGCAGGAGATAGTATGATGAAGCCATAGACGTTAAAGAGTGAATAAGCTCAAAATTGAAATAATATTCTCTGTCTTGACTTCTGGCAGTTTGATAATTTTCTGGGTGCAGAATGAAAAGGTCAATATTCAACACTTGTTCTGTTGCCCTCCATTAACCGACGTTCAATATTTATGACTAAAGAAATAACTACTATTGGATGGGGGGAAAATATCTGCTTCCAACAGGTAGCTGTTGTAAAACGTAAATATTTGGAGGCAGTTGAAGTTAAAAATATGGAGGAGCCTCCTAGAGGAGCATAGTGGAACACCCAGGATTCCAGGCAGTTTGTCTGAATTACTGGGTGTTATGAGCTGCATGGCAATACAAGCAGCAGCATGGTGCCTCGGCATATGAAGAATCAGATCATAAAAAAAGCAGGCACATTGCCTATAGG